TTCCCAACGCCTGTGGTTGCGTCATGCGTGATGGCCGACCTGCAAGGATCACAATTTTCCGGTCCTGATGGTCGATGCCGATGTTGGTGACGACTTCGGCAAAGAAACAACGAAATATTTGAACACGATTCGGAGAGAAAAGGGTGTCTTGATTTGTGTTTGCACAGCTCATTATGCGGAGAAGACCGAATCACCCTTCTGCTCATTTAAAGAGTTACAGTACGCCCAAGACTACAGCTTGGATGTTCTCCCGCTGAAAGTGGCAGACGTCTACCCCCCGCAACCGCCTGGCGGTCCAGATCATGAGCACGACAAGGAGTACGAAGCAGAGGCCGTGATCAGTAATGTCTTCAGACCCAACCTCGCCAGAAAGGACACTTGGATCTTGAACATGTCAAGAAGAACTTAGCTCATTCGTCCCAGCTCGTTCGAAGGACATGACACGGCGCATGTCAAGAGCAGGCGCTCTTAGAGAATCCTGCGCAACCCAGGACTGCCGCGACCTAGACGAGACGCAGATTGCACGGCTGATCGCAGACAAGTTGCTAAAGAAGAAGAGCCTCGCCATGAGAAGTTCGTTGTCCTTGCAAGGATCCTTAAACCCTATAGGCCGCGCATGATGTCGCAAGCATAGCCATGCCAAGGCGAGGCGCTGGACATGGACGAGAAGAAGGCTCACAGAAACCTCGGGCGGGGGGGAACCGCACCACCACACCATCAGGGTTTCAGGGTGCAGGGCGCAGGGTTTCGTCGGGTTTTGGAGTGAATGGGCCTTGACAGGTCGCATTCGGCGCTGAAAGTCGCTTGACCACTCCGCCTCCCGCCCTGCGCAGCTGAGGGTCTCGCACGTCAGCTTTGATCCAAGCTGCTTCGTTACTAGGGAGTTCGGTGTTGCGTGTAACCCTTCGCCGCGAGCCCCAGACAATCCTGAGACTGATGTCAAGTTTATACAATTGTGAAGACAAGCTCGCAGGGAGGTTACTGCAACGAGGGCAGCGCTGCAGACGCCGAAGGGATGCAGCGCAGAAGCAGGTGATTCGGCTTTACCCGAACTACCTTGAAACCAATCCATAGTAGTACGAAGTACGCAGGAGTTGAGTCCAATTACAGCCCATTTGGCGCCAAGAACACCGTCATAATGGAACCACACCTAAACCCCGTTGAACCCTCCATGGCCTGACCGCTCTTTCGGGCCGCCTTGCTTTTTCCTGTACATAGGGGTTCTTGTAGTTGGATTTTGGCAAAAAGGGTTGGGGTCTAGGATGGGGAACTTAAGAGCCAGGCCAGTAGGGTTTCAAGTAGGGCATCCCCACATAGACTGTTTTCCACTCGAGATCTACTTAAGTCCTGCTTAGAAAGCTCCTTGATCATGATCCTTTGGCAGCAGTGTTTCCCTATCATCTACGTACTTGGCTGTGAAGATTGACCGAAGAGACAGCTCAAAAAGCCGACTTGATCTATGCGGCTCTTGCGTACTCTTTGATTTTGCTACATTTTTGGGCTGGGGGTTCTTGCAGATAAGAAGCTAAGAGCGAGGCCACTGTCTGCAATTTCAACCCAAATGGGCTGAGGGAATCCCCACTCAACATGTGTTTTCAGCGGGTGAAACCCCTCAGTGTTGACTTGCTTCAGTCTTCTCAAAACCGCCGCAAGCTTCTCTGGAAGCTGGCCTCAAGGATCTCGATCAAACACACAAGAGGCTGAATAATCACTTAGGGTTTAGGCGGTTTAGGGTTTAGGGTCCGACATCGGGGAGAAGGAGCTGCAGAAGTGATGGAGATTCCTTGGGGTTGACGGCTGCCGTGGAGGCATTAATAAGCTGTAAGCTTATGCCGAGCCTGCATACTCCTGACCGATCGAGTGCAAAGTTGACAAAGTGCGGCGCCCAAGAGAGTTCAGTGCCTCGTGCCTGACAGTGACAGGGAGCTTCGTACTGCCAAGCGGATTCCAGGGTTATGCGGCCCCGTGTTCGAGACGGCCTGTTGGAAGAACTATACTGAGCGTTTCATGGTGAGGATGGCTCAGAAGAGCATAGTGCTTCGGAGCAATTTTCTAGATTTGTTCCGGCACTGGCAATTGCAACGTATGGAGAAGCCTTCTAACACGCAGTCTTCTGATGGTCGTCTGGCCAGCCTTGCCAGAACGATGATTTCCGTACACACTTGCTCAGAACTCCCATGTTTGAGCGATTTTGCTTTGGTTGCCCTTGTACTTTTCATTCCATTCCCTCTACAAGCCGTGGCTGTTGACGACTGGCTACAGCCGTAAAGCCTGAACACCAGCGTCGCCGTTTGCCAATTCCTTTGCATGCAGGGTTTCAGGTCTAGGGCAGCCTTCAATCTTGCCCCTGAACGCCGAAACCCTCAAACGCCGGCGCCCAAAATCATGAACCCAACTCTATGCCCCAGCACTCTGTGAAGCTGCCTTTGCTTCAGACATCTTGGCACTCTCTGTTTCCCCCAGCAGCACGCTTATCCTCTTTACATGTTAGGGTCTGTGTTTTCGGAATGAGCAATACCCGCACTAAGAGGATCTTGGGAAACCCTCCGTAAATTCGAGCACTGAGGCTCGTAAGTAGCTTGTAGAGATGTTTACTGTTTAGGGGTTCGGATCCCGGCTGCAGCCTGGAGTTTTAGGGATGCAGCTTTGAGGTGTAGCGGTTTACGGCTTTGGGGTTTCAAGGTTCCGTGAAATTCGAACTTGAGCCCGAAAACCCCTGGACCCTAAACCTCCGGAGCCATGATTGGTGGACAAGGTCGAGGTGTGGTGGCATCAAAGTGCTGAGACTGTGCGGGATAAACCCTAAAATAGCATTTGTGTTCTAGGGGGTCGGTGTCATTTTGCCATTGTCATGATCATGGCTATACTGACCACCGAGCGCTTGCAGGAGCTGAGAATGCTTAGGGCTTAGGGCTTAAGGCTAAGGGATTTAGGGTTTAGGGTTTAGGGTTTGGGGTCTTAGGGTTTAGGGTTCTAGGGTTTTAGAGTTTTAAATTTTAGGGCCCGAAAGTGTAAGGTTTTGAGCAGCAGGGGCTGCTATGGTGCAACTTCAGGGTTCCCTTAGAGCAAGGTCGCTAGAAGGGGGGCTTCGATCTCCACAAAATCTTCGAAGACATGGTGTTTTCAAAGGGGGCGCTGGCGCTTTTCAGGCTTCTTTAAGTGCGCCTGAGGGCTCCTTTCCAGTAACTTTGAAAGTGTTTTAAGGGATCCTTACAAGGTTCCTTTCAAGTCTTCTCGGAGGCTTCCTTTGAGCGCTGCTTGAAGGCTTCGTTTAGTGCTGTTTGTTTAAGCTTAGGGCCTCTTACGTTTGACGAGTTTAGGACCTCTGCTTTTCCGTTGTCTTGCAGTTCATGTGCTTTCTTGGCATAGTCTAGCCAGCAATGCCGAACCTTGCTGGGGTAGTATACTCCCTGTCTTCTCACTCACAGACCCTAAGCCGAGCCCTAAACCCTAGCCCCTC